CGCTTCACCCCAATCTCTGCCTCCATCTCCATGGCCTTCTCCTCCATGTCTGTCTTACGAGAACACTTGTCATTGGATTGAGAGCCCACCCAGACAATCCAGGATAATCTCCTCATCTCAAGATTCTTCAATTACCTCTGCCAAGATCCTTTTTCCCAAATAAACATTCACACGTTCTGCAGTGAGGATGTGTGCACATCTTTTGAGGGGCTACCATTCAAGCCACCGGCCAGATGGCCTGCCGGGCCCATGGGCAAGCTGTCACCGAGTTCTCAGTTTGATTGGACAAGAACGCTGAATGAGGGCGAAGGAAGAACCCGCAGGCAGGCACAGCCGGGGGCTCAGATAAGTGCGTGGACTCTAAGGTCCGACTGTTTTTGGCTACTTACTGGCCCAGAGAGCTTGGGAAGTCATCTAAACTGGTCAGCTTACACATCTGTTAAGCAGCAATCATGCCAGTTATCTGCCTCATGGGGCTCTAACGTTGCCGACTCTTAAAAGATACTTTTCCTAAAGGACTCACAATGACATCCGGCACCTAATAAGTAGGGTTTTTCAATCCATCTTTTAAAATAAACTAAGCAATGGACAACAGAATCACAGAAAATTGTCCTCAAAGACACACTAAAATGTTCTGTGTGTTCTATCTTTACCTGTCATGAAAACTTCTAGAGAAGGAAAGAAACCAACATAAACGGAGTCAGGTAGGAAACACTGCTCATACTTGGAGACAGAGGAGGCTGCAGCTACCTCTGAACTGTCTTTGTCTTTCTTCCAACAAAAAATAAATAAGAATCCTGAAGTGCAGTGAACTATTTATCCTGGTTTGTGTTTCCTGAATCCACGTAATGATACTTGACACAGTGACTCATACTAACACCGTTGCTTCACGTTTAACGGCTGAATTTCAGAAAAAGCAATGAGTTAGGTTATTCAGAAGGGCGATCCCTTTATTTGCCCAGTATTTTCTGGATGAGAGCAGGCAAAGGAAAACTCCTGGAAGATTGGTTCCAGATTTTCCAACAAGGTAACACTCCACAGTAAACATCTGACTTTGATCTTGATTTCACCTTGAACTGGGTTTACAACAACATGGGGTGTGTTGATTTCTTTAAAGAAATCTATCTGGGGGCTTTTGCTTTTCTATCCTATGGAGAGGCACAAACTCCCCTTTCCCGTGTGCACCCCCAAGCTCTTCTCCAATGTTTAGGTGAGAATGAACTCTGTATTGTGGTTTCTGACCACAGAAAAAGTTGTAGCTTATTTTCGCTGAGGTTTGGCTCCCAACGACCAGACAGAAACCATTCAAGGAGCAACCCTGTCTCAAGGTCTCTGACCCCACCTGGCCCCCATGCAAACCACCTGCCAGCTACCTTCCGTTTCCATTGCTGCCCTGTTATCTGTTCCAAACACTTTCAAATCTGATTATTTTTCTAATCTCTTCTCTCCTCCTTTGGTAACACTACTCTTTATCTTGTGGTTTTCATCTTTATTACTCACATTTCCTCAAAATGAGCGTTCATTAAAATATTTTAAATTAGGACCTTTACTGCCTTTCTCACTGAGCGCATTGGGTCTTCCCATACGACACATTTTTAATTCTTATCACAGAATTCCAGGCAGTTTGTACATTATATTCTATTAAAAACTCTATTCCACCCAAGGTTGTCACAATTCAGAGATTACAGCTTTCTGAGGGATGTTTTGTTAGGGATATATTCATATATTCACTTTGTTAGCCGGCAAACACAGTCCATGAGCTTGTATTTCACACCTCATTTGACATCACAATTCATTAGAAAAGTACAAAGAGAAGCAATTATTTATTTAGATTATGGAATGAATTTTAGACGGATATTAGATAAGTATAAATTGTCATACCAAAGCATCAATCCCTGTCCTTCATCCAGCCCCGGGGAGGTCAAACACTGAAGTGAAGGACGAAAAGGAGGATGCTAGACAGGAGAGCGTCTCATAATTATGTAACTCTGCTTATGTAACGACTTGTCTTCTCCTGCAATTTTTTTCTCTCTCCTAAAGAGAATGCAAAATTGATTCTCATAGAGCCAAAAGTGATCACCACAGCCTATGTTTTTTCTTCATACTATGTATGATTTTTAAGAGAGCACGACTTGATCAAATATTTCAAGAAGTCAATTTCCTACCCATAGACCACGGATTCTGCCCTCACACAGACCCTTCTAACTCAGGACAGTTTGACAGGCATGCAACTGCTCGACTGGACGATGGTGTGAAAGCGATTAATGCTTTCAGTAGAAACCATACTTGGAATTTTGAATCTAGACCTTGTCGCGGGCTTAAGATCCGCGGTCCCATCCTGTCCCGCCTGTGATCCTGGGCAGCGGCCGCCGCTCCCCGTCAGCCACGCGATCACGAGGGTCACAGACGCCACGTGCATCGTCTGTCACCATCAGTGCCTAGTCAGGTGATTTTGTCCAGCAGGAGGCTCACGTCGGTGCTCTGAGCACGTTGAAGGTGGGCCAGGCTGAGCTGTGGTGGCCGCTAGGTGAGGTGTGTGAAATGCATCTTTGACTCATGATATTTTCAATTTATGATGGGTCTATCTGGAGGTCACCCTGTTACGAGTCAAGGAGGATCTATCCCCAAGATGTATACCCAAGTGGTGATTTCAGAGGGTGTACGTCGAGGCATCCCACTCAGGCCCCTCCAGCACAGCAGGACTGTGGTAACCGCAAGGCCCCCTCTTGTTTCTGCCCCCACCCCCAGCATCCATCCCCCAGAACACCTCCCATCCTCTAAGCCACGTCGTTCAGGTGGGCTGGCCACAGTGACTGGTCTGGTGGGCCCATGATCCAGGCTGGTCCAAAGAGAGCCAGTGGACCTGACGGGGAAGAGTGGCGTCCTCCCTGAAGTGACCACGCCAGCAGGATGGACACTGGGAGCTGCTGGTGGCTGACCTGCCACCAGGAGGGAAGATCCTGCTAGAGATGCTGCCAAGCCAGAGGAAAGACAGGGGACAGGTCGCTAAGGATGCCGCTAGGGCCCCTGGATCCAGACGTCGTCCCTGGTAGCAGCCCCCCTGCGAGTCTCCATCAGCATGAGGAACCCAACACCCCTTCATGCTTGGGCTTCATCAGTGCGGCACCCAACAATAAAGCCCAGCTGACCAACACCCCCAGCAACCCAGAGGGAGCCTGGGCCCAAGCGCAAAACAGAGAGGAAGCCACAACCCTTGGTGGGCGCCAGGTTTGAAGAGTGTGGCCAGTTGCGCTAGCTGACCACCATCCTCCTACCCTTCTTCCTTTATAACAAAGACCACCCCCCAGGACACCTCTCCAAAATAGTGCCGGGTGTTCACTTTCCCAGACCGCTTCCTGGGCAAAGGCAGGGGCCCACCGCTTCCCCCTGAGATCTGAAGAGACAACTTCCGGGTCTTCTTTCCTGATAAAAAAGAGATACGCAGGAGAAGCGGCTCCCTGCCCATGTTCATGAACAACTGGGTGAGCTGGTGATGCCTGGAACTGCTGCAGCCACCTTGTGACCACGAGCAAACTAGAGGGAGGATGACAGCCAGTGAGCCGGGCACAACAGAGCGGAAGACAGGACACACTTGGGTGACACCATCTGTGCTGCTGGATTTCCAGCCGCCAACCGCCCGCCCTTAAGTTTCTTGCCAGGTGAGATGGTAAAACCGTGTTGTAGGGGCCACGTTCGGTGGGTATCCTAGTACTTGCGAATGAAAGCACCTGAGCCAATATAAGAATCCTAGGCTCTCTCCGTATACTGATAGTTCAGGGTGTGGGAACGCTCAGCGGGCGGACAGATTTCCAGGGAAACCATGGGCCACGCGAGGTTGCAGACGAAAAGCCCTTTCGAGGGAGGGAAAGCAGGATAATCAGAATGTTGAGCTTGGAGTAGTCAATATTCCTAACAGGAGGCTCGTGACCTCTCACTGCCTTCCCTTTGAAAGAGCTCTTGGAAGCAGGGAGGACACGGTCCTAGCCAAGGTTGGCGGGAGTCACCGAGGCAGGGAGCACTCGGCGCAGGACTCCCCTGGAGGAGGCAAGCTCCACCCAACCTCCCTGAGCCTCAGGAGCCCAGCCACCCGCCCATACCCCGGTGCGATCACAGAGTACCCCCCAGGGGCCTAACACTGTGGAGTTTAAATACTAGAGGGAAGAGGAAAGAGAACAGGATATGACGATGGCAGAGATCTGCAAGGGGCTCGCCTGCCAAGCTGAGGCCTTGGAGTCTCATCCTGGCTGAAGTGGGAGCCACTGTGGTTTTAAGGCGGGGGCTGGGGTGACATGTCCAGTGGCTCATTTTGGCCCAACTGCTTGAGAGAAAAGGCTGTTACCACAGTGGAAACAGCTCCTTCTGCCTTTTTGGGGTCCTGATGCATGGTGACTAGCAATGACCTCCCTCCGCAGCCCCATGAAACCCAAGGCCAGGGTCTGAGCTGGAGAGGACAAGTGTGTGCCGGCAACACCAAGTTCACTGACCTCCCACTCTGACTCCATGCACCAATACCCACGTGTGGTATCTGCAAAATGACTGCATTTAAGCACAAAGACACACTTACTCAGTTGCTCCAGCCGCCCTCTGCTTGCTCATAAAAAGGTACATTTCCCCCTCGCCTCTTAAATCATTTCTATGGTCCTCATTTCATTCTTCAGTCTTCAGTGCAAACAATAACAATAATAATAATAAATTCCTAAAGTACGGTTCTCAAACCCCGTGCATATGTGAGTTCAGATAATTTTCTGAGACTGCTCACCTAACTGGGCCATAGGTATATAGAGAGCGCAAAGAATAAAAGCCCCCTCCGGCGGCGCAGCCCCATCATGGAGCCCTTCGGAAGCCAAACAGCTGAGCAGTGCTGACGAGCGAGAGGAACACACGGCCCATTAAAGGCAGAGGCATCACCCCATTTATGCGCACATTACTCTGCTGTCAGCTCTTGCAGCCACCCCAGCCCCACCACAGCCACGGCCACACCCGGGGACATGGGCGCTCACCTGCTCTGCGTGTCCGGGTGGTGGCCCACACAGGTGAGGGTGGCCGTTGTCTGCTCGCTGCTGCTGTCGATGTCCTCCTGGACTGCCCACTGCTGCTCGCTGCTGACGCGCACGGCCAGTATTCTCACACCAGCTGCGGCCTTAATTCTGTGGGGTAGGAAAAAGACGTACAGTTCAAGACAAGTGGTAAAAAAGATGGAACCTCTCCTCTGGGAGACGCAGGGGAGAGAGGCGGTAAATGGCTTTCCTTTGCAAACTAAGTGTCCTGTTATTTTTACAAGCGCCCCGAAGTAGGAGCCCCGGCGTTTTGCCAAGCGCGTTAGTCTTCTGTTGCATCAACGCGCTGGGAACCAGATCACTGTCTGCTTCGGGGGCCGCGAGTGATGGAAATGAAGCAGGTGTGTCTGGGCGGGCATGGATGGAATCCGCTTGCCCTGCTCTTCACCTAGAGATGGAGAGGGGTCCCCATGAGGTGGAGGGAGCACACACGGCCGGGGGGCAGGGGAAGCCCAGGGGACCGAGGAGGAAGGGGCGGCCCTGACCACACAGGGAGAAGGGAACGATGGGGCATGCCGTCGTCGGGAGAAAAATACACACAGCATCCAGGCAGGATAGTGTAGCCAGGGAATGCCTGGTATGGCGTTGGCAGAACACAGTTCCCCAAGGAAGAACCCAAGGACCCAGGGACTCCCGCACTGAGAAAAGGCCAACTCACAGCCTGGTTGTTTTCCATGTGTTCCCTGCTCCTCAAATGACCCTCTGCTGCGACTAACCAGAGCGCATCTCCTGCTCTGTAACAGAGGATTCCGGAGCATCATTCAAGTTCTGGGATAGCAGCCTTGGGACTTGCCTGAGCTGGGGGCATGTCCGGGGAACAATCAGGAGGAAGACAGAGCCATGGAGCACCCTCTGCTCGCCATGCCTTAACCAGGTAGACGTAAGAGCAAGAGGACGTGCTTGGACTTCTGAGCCCAGGAACAAATACAGCACAGGGTTGGCAGGTGCTTGGCTGGGAGGAGGCATGACGTCCCTCTGCTTCCCAGAGGCCTGTGGGCCCCCAAGCACTGCCCGGTGAGGCCCTGGGCACCCTTTACCACAGGTACATCAAAAGGAACGTGATAGTAATGCCTGGGGGGCTCAGTCGGTGAAGCATCTGCCTTCAGCTCAGGTCATGATCTTGGGGTCCTGGGATGGAGTCCCAACCCCATGTGGGGCTCCCTGCTTGGCGGGGAGTCTGCTTCTCCCTCTCACTCTGCCCCACTCCCCGCTTGTGCTCTCTCTCTAGATTTTTCTCTTGCTTGCTCACTCTCTCTCAAATAAATATAAAATCTTAAAAAAAAGAAAAGGAACACGATTCAGCCATAAAAAGGAATGAAGCATTGACACCCACTACAATGTAGATGAATCTCGACAACAACAGTCAACATGGAAGAAGCCAGACACAAAAGGCCGTGTATCGTGTGATTCCATTTATGTAAAAAGTCCAGAAGAGGCAAATCCGTAAGGACACAGAGCAGGCTGGTGGTTGCCAGGGGCCGGGGGCACTGGGGGAGAAGGGGCAGTAACCGTTAGACTAACTGCTAGACTAACAGACTTGATTGGGATAGACGGCACCGCGAATGTGCTAAATGCCACTGAACTGGTCCCTGGGAAACGGCCAACTGTATGTTACCTGATTTTGCCTCAATAAAAAAAAAAAAAGAAAAGGGTGTAGAAACAAATGAATAGCCCCTCCCAGGAGAGGTTGAAACTTAAAAAAAATAATAAAAATAAAAAAGCATTTATCAACACACACACAAAAAATCTCCAAGACCCAAAGAAGGGAGCTTATAAAGGCAGAAATTTCCAGGAACAGGAGGGAGCATTCTGGACTCAAGGGCTGTCCTAACCGCTGGCTTTGCTGCCTACTGTGAGGAGCCCAGGGGGTGGAATCGGGGGCTTTAAATACCTGCAGAGATAGTTAAACAGAGAAGAAAGGCTTCTGCTTCCCTTATTCTCCTCGTGCAGGTCCTCGCATCTGGCGCACCCTGAGAAGTCCCCAGAGCCGCAGACTCCCCTCCCGGCTCTGACGGACTCCCCTCCTGGCCCGCCCACGGATGAAGGCTGCTACCTCCTCCAAGCCTTCTTTCTCACCACTGTGATGTTGCCGGGATTAGTTTATGCGAACCGTGAATAGAGGCGTCCTGTTCTGTCCGCACTTCCAGCCATTCCATGTTGCTGCCAAACGGGCAGTTGGAGAGAATGTTCCAGAACTCGCGTCTCCTCTCTGATGGCACTATTGTAACAGTTATCACGTTCTGTCACATGTGCACGACTGCCCACGGAGCTCTTTCGTCAGACAGCCCCATGGGCCGCATTATTACTATTGTCCTCAAAGTCCAGATGAACACATGTCCGCCCTCCCGCCCCCAGACCGAGCAGCCAGCTGGAGGTCACGGAGCCGGGCGATGGCAGAGCCAGGATTAGAAACCTGCCCCCATGCACGTGGTATCCCCCGTGAGCCGCGCGCACCACGCACTGCTGGCAAATGACCCAGGGGACCCATGACCTGCACTCCAGCTCCTAACTGAGCCCTAACGGCCCCTCTCGCTCCTTCAGTCCTGGAGCACAACATGTCCACTGAAGATTCTCCTTGGGGGTTTTCGTTTATTTTCTTTGATTCTGATCCAAAAACAAGACACAGGTCCCTCGTCGTCAGGGACTCAGCATCTCTGAACAGATTCATGCGACTGGATGCCACGGCCTCCCCACTGCCCTCCTTTGTGGTCTTTTTTGTTTTTCGAGACAGAGGCCATTGTAATGGGCAAACTCTCCCTGGGAGTGTTGAGAAGCAGGCCTCCAACCAGGGGCGACCACAAGTACCAACAGCAGGGACAGAGTCTGAGCAGCTCTGGAGGCCAGCCACTGTGCTCACCATTGTCACTGTCCTTGCTGGTCCTAAAGAGATCACGGGGGAGGCCGGGAGGCAGACTTGGGACGGTGACCTGTAACTAACAGAGGTCACCCAGCAGGGTCACACCAGTGCCTAGGGCTGTGCATGAGAACAGAGGCAGAGAGCAGACCAAGGTGGCCTCCCAAGGTTTCCTTCAGATGGGATTATTGGCCCTGGGGCACCACAGATGCTTTTCTACATGCTGCAATGCTCTCGAGAGGACGTCTGACTTCTTCACCTTTTCCTGCTTACCTGGAGTCCAGATGAGAGCCCATCGCAGTAGCCACCCATCTGCTTCCCTCCCTAGGGCAGCCAGCCTCGGGTAGCCCTCCAGGTTTGGCCATCAGCAGGGGCATCTCTATGTTCTCCCCTGCAGGGTCACTGGCTCTCAATTTCTACTCTACCATCCACACCCGAGCACTGTGCTTGGCATTAGGGCTCCAGACACAATTACTTTTCTCCTCTATCCCCATCCTCCTCCCAAGCCACCTAGAAGGACTGGGACCTCCTGCCTGACCCAGAGCATGCCATGAACGTTTCTGCCCTAACGCCTTCCCGCACTGCTGGTCTCCTTTGGTTCTGGTAGCTCCCCCGAGCTGCAGCAAAGTCAGACCTGAGAGGCTCACCAGGCTGCACCAGTGATCTGGAGCACAAGAGAGCCAGAAACTTCAGGGTGGTTAATTTCGAGGCCAAGAGGAAGTCTCAAGAAAACAGATACCTACTCGCCCCCTTCCAGGCTTCCTAGGGCCCATCCCTCCCCCAGAAAGTAGACTTTCAAGCTGCTAAATACCTTCCAAAACTTCCATAAAGACAGTCAGCTTTCATGCCCACTAAGGACAGGAACCGTGAGCTCAACAGTCACACACTAACTGTCTCCGTTAGGGCTGGACAAATGCACGGCATCGCGGGGTTTGTCTTAGCTTTTATTCTCAGTTATTATTATCGGTAGCAATGCACTCTCGCAAGCCTCCTTGTACAGCACAAAAAACAGACACTTGCCCATCAGAAGGGCTGCAACAGAAAGAGAACATAGCAAGTGTTGACCTATGTTGACTCGTGCGCATTGCTGGAATGTGTGAACGTGGTTCCATTTCTTTGGAATACTATCTGGCAATGTCTCCTAAGCTGAACTTCTGTAGATCTATAGCCCAGCACTTCCACTACCAGGCATATGCCCAAGAGACATGCATGCATGTGTTCCCCAGAAGAGCACAAGAGAGTTCATGGCAGCACCATCCTATGAAGCCCCTAATGGAAACAGCCTAAACTGCTCACTGAGAACAGAACAGATACCAGTGAATACGTGCAGCAAAAACAAGAATGAGCAGTCTACCACCACCCAAAGCAACATCATGAATGTACAGTGATGCTCTTGGGCAAGAAAGGGCACACTGCAAAATCCCATTTACAGAAAGTCAGGCAAACAGACTCTGAGGTTGAAGTCAGCATTGTGGTTACGCTTTGGGGAAGTAACTGGACGGGGCCCCCAGGGGGGCTTCTGGGGCCCCAGCCATGTTCTGTTTCTCCTTCTGGATGTGACTGCACGGTGGGTTTCGAGAATTCATCAGGCTGTGCTCACTCGTGTGTACTTTTCTGGACATCTGTTCTAGTTCCGTATAGAGTTCACAACAAAGCTCCTGTCTGTAACAGGGACGCCAAGTTGCAGCCAGGGCAACACCTACCACTGGATGTGACCTCCCCGCTGCTCAAGCTCAGTGGGAGGCCTCAGGATGAGTGAGACCACCACCACCCTGGACACACAGAAGGGCTTCTCCCCGCAGCTGCCACCACCCCTTGAGGTCCCCACCTTTGTTCTGAGGAGCAGAGAGTAATCTGAAACTTTGACCTTGTCTATGATGGGGAAGGGTCTTAAAATCCAGATGAGCACCCCTGCTGGTTGGACCAGGGACCAATGACATTCCAGCTGCTGTGGGTAAGCAATGAGAAAGACATTTAGACTCCAGGCCAGTCTCTACCCAGCAGGGACTAGAGACAGGGCAAAGGCCCACAGCTTCTCCATCTCATTCCCCTATATCTTTTCAGCCCACCATATCTACCACCTAGCAGGGCACAAGAAAACTTGCTTGATGAGTGCAACCGACTCTTTCTGTCTTATACTTAGGCCATCCACTTTAGAATTAAATACTCAACTCTAGGCAGGAATTTTGGCCGTTTGGTTGCTTACACAGTGGATGTGCAGTAAAGGATTAATCCT